TGTATCCGTGGCCTCCAGATACAGAGATCAAAGCACTCACAGATTCAGAAATCTGCAATGTAACACACAACACAATGCAGATCTAGAAAGGCATAACACATAATAATAATAATAATAATAATAATAATAATAATAATAATAATCTATATAAATAAAAATGCAATGTTCGTTTGTGGGATTAACAGAAGTCAAAAACCACTGGACGGATTGACACCAAATTTGGACACAAGACACCTCTCAGGCCAATAAGTGACCATCACTCATAAAAACACTGAAAAACACAGCGGAAGGGACTTAAAAAGCAAAAAAAAATATTACAATGTTCATGCTTATCTTCTTACCTAATTGGATTTACCTATTCCTTTAAAGTGCTTTTTACTTAGATGCTTTTTACTTATCTATATAAATAAAAATGTAATGTTAGTTTGTGGGATTAACATAACTCAAGAATGAGGGGAGACTGCGTATTATTATTATTATTATCATTGATAATGATGATGATGATGATGATGATGATAATATCTCTGTTTTATCTCTTGGCAAAGATGCCAAGCGACTCACAACATCAATAAACAACTTAGTATGGTATGCATTTGCAAGAATGAGGGGAGATTGCATATTATTATTATTATTATTATTATTATCATTGATAATGATAATAATAATAATAAAATGCTGCACTCGCAGAGCTCAGGCGGTGTTGAATTAGGATTGTGATTGTTATCTCAATTTTCTCTCTTGGCAAATATGCCAAGCGACTCACAACATCAATAAACAACATAAACAACTTCGTATGGCATGTATTTGCCAGAATGAGGGGAGACTGCGTATTATTATGATTATTATCATTGATGATGATGATGATGATGATGATGATAATATCTCTGTTTTATCTCTTGGCAAAGATGCCAAGCGACTCACAACATCAATAAACAACTTAGTATGACATGTATTTGCAAGAATGAGGGGAGACTGCATAATATTATTATTATTATTATTATTATTATTATTATTATATATCGTTTTTAGCTTTTAATATTGCTATTATGCACTGTCTTATGTCTAATTGCTCTATAATGGTTCTTTTGTTTATCAATGTATGTATTTTTATGGCAACGAATTGTGCCGATTGTGTACGCTGCTCTGAGCCGCCTCTGAGCTGATATGAGCGGGGTAGAAATAATGCAAATAAATAAATAAATAAATATTATTATCATTGATGATAATAATAATAATAATAATAATAATAATAATAAAGATCTTGGAGTCCTCGTGGACAACAAGTTAAACATGAGCCAGGAATGTGATGTGGCGGCAAAAAAAGCCAATGGGATTTTGGCCTGCATCAAGAGGAGCCTAGTGTCTAAATCTAGGGAAGTCATGCTCCCCATGCTCTATTCCGCTTTGGTTAGACCATTTTACCTGGAATATTGTGTCCAATTCTGGGCACCACAATTCAAGAGAGATATTGACAAGCTGGAATGTGTCCAGAGGAGGGCGACTAAAATGATCAAGGGTCTGGAGAACAAGCCCTATGAGGAGCGGCTTAAGGAGCTGGGCATGTTTAGCCTGAAGAAGAGAAGGCTGAGAGGAGACATGATGAGAGCCATGTATAAATATGTGAGAGGAAGCCACAGGGAGGAGGGAGCAAGCTTGTTTTCTGCTTCCCTGGAGACTAGGACGCAAGGGAACAATGGCTTCAAACTACAAGAGAGGAGATTCCATCTGAACATGAAGAAGAACTTCCTGACTGTGAGAGCCTTCTCTGTGGTGGCACTCTCTGCCCTGGAGTGTGGTGGAGGCTCTTCTTTGGAGGCTTTTAAACAGAGGCTGGATGGCCATCTGTCAGGGGTGATTTGAATGCTATATTCCTGCTTCTTGGCAGAATGGGGTTGGACTGGATGATGGCCCAGGAGGTCTCTTCCAACTCTTGGATTCTAGGATTCCATGCTGCACTCGCAGAGCTCAGGCAGTGTTGAATTTCGGTGTCGATGTTGACTTTTGTGGAGAGGTGGCTGCCAAGGGAGCGGAAATGGCTAACATTTTCTAATGTTACACCATTAAGTATCTCTAGCATAAGGCCAATGTGACTCTATGGCACAAGAGAACCACAGCCAAAGACCTACAGACGATTAGGTTGTGTAGTTCCTTTCCCTATTGATTTTACACCACACGGGATGCCATGTTGTGTGCGTGTGCATTGTCTCGTTGGGGTGCCACCAAGGGGATGCTGATGCAGCGCAAACATGAGTGTTTTCCTCCCCGATCGCAACCTGGCCCTGACCCGCTGCCGTTTCCTTGATCTCCATTTCTCATAAACCCTCTCAAGGCATCGACTTGGTTCTCTTCTGAGAAGCGTCTCCTTGCGTCACCGATGGCAGGTGCTGAGGATGCGGTTTGCCTTGTGGCCGCCAGCCGGGTTTCCTTTGCTGAGCCCGGTGCGTAAGAGCCAAGCCATGTGCCATCGGGCCCCGGGCGCTCACCGGTTTCTTTTTCTTCCATTTCTTCTTGCCGCAGCAGAAGTCGCAGCAGATGCCTCCGGTTGCGTTTCTCTTTCGGCTTCAATTACCCAGAAACGAGCCACAACAATGCTGTGGGTTTCTCCGTAAACTCAGCACCCTTTGTCTTTTGCAATTCCCGATCTTCCGCCGGCAAGAGTTGGACCCGGTTTGATGATCGAGACGTAATCAAAGCAATACATGAACATATTTGGAAACCCAAATGTTTTCGGTTTACAATGTGACTTTTTCATGGTAATTGCAAAGGGAAATGATGCAAAAAACAGAGAGGAAAAGAAAGTTTGACGTCACTTTTGTGTTCTTACTTGGACATCTCTTTTGCTTGTAAGATTGTTGTTGTTGTTGTGGGACCTTGAGACCTTTCCAAATTTTGGTGAACCCATGGTGAACCTGTTGCAGGGTTTTCTAGGGCTGAGAGTGTGTGACCTGTCCTCCATGATGACATATGCCAAGAGTCTTGGACAGCAATGGCTCCCAAAGTGACCCATTTAAGGTGGAATCAGGCGTCAAACAGGAATGATGTGTTATTGCCCCAATTTAGTCTCCATCTTCATCGCTATGATACTTCACCTTGTTGATGGGAAGCTTCCCACCGGAGTGGAAATCATCTATCGGACAGATGGCAAGCTATTCAACCTCAGCAGACTGAAAGCCAAAACCAAGGTTACAACAACATCTGTTATAGAACTCCAGTATGCTGATGACAACGTCATCTGTGCGCATTCAGAAGAAGACCTACAAGCCTCAGCAGACTGAAAGCCAAAACCAAGGTCTCAACAACATCTGTTATAGAACTCCAGTATGCTGATGACAAGGTCATCTGTGCACATTCAGAAGAAGACCTACAAGCCTCAGCAGACTGAAAGCCAAAACCAAGGTTACAACAACATCTGTTATAGAACTCCAGTATGCTGATGACAATGTCATCTGTGCACATTCAGAAGAAGACCTACAAGCCTCAGCAGACTGAAAGCCAAAACCAAGGTTACAACAACATCTGTTATAGAACTCCAGTATGCTGATGACAATGTCATCTGTGCACATTCAGAAGAAGACCTACAAGCCTCAGCAGACTGAAAGCCAAAACCAAGGTTACAACAACATCTGTTATAGAACTCCAGTATGCTGATGACAACGTCGTCTGTGTGCATTCAGAAGAAGACCTACAAGCCACTCTAAACACCTTCGCAGAAGCATACGAGAAGCTCGGCCTGTCATTGAACATTGAGAAAACCAAAGTGCTCTTCCAGCAGACACCAGCCATCCCCTCCCCAATGCCAGTGATACAGCTTAATGGTGTCACATTAGAAAATGTGAACCATTTCCGCTCCCTTGGCAGCCATCTCTCCACCAAAGTCAACATCGACACCGAAATACAGCACGGCCAGAGCTCTGCGAGTGCAGCATTTGTCTGAATGAAGCAGAGAGTGTTTGAGGACCGGGACATCCGTAGGGAGACCAAGGTGCTTGTCTATAAAGCTATTGTCCTCCCAACCGTGCTCTATGCCTGTGAAACGTGGACTGTCTACAGACGTCACATGCAACTCCTCGAACGATTCCATCAGCGCTGCCTCCAGAAAATCCTGCAAATCTCTTGGGAAGACAGGCGGACAAACATCAGCGTGCTGGAAGAAGCAAAGACCACCAGCATTGAAGTGATGGTCCTCCGCCATCAACTCCGCTGGACTGGCCACGTTGTCCGGATGCCTGACCACCGTCTCCCAAAGCAGTTGCTCTACTCCGAACTCAAGAACGGAAAACGGAATGTTGGAAGGCAGGAAAAGAGATTGAAAGATGGGCTCAAAGCCAACCTTAAAAACTCTGGCATAGACACTGAGAACTGGGAAGCCCTGGCCCTTGAGCGCTCCAGTGGAGGTCAGCTGTGACCAGCAGTGCTGCAGAATTTGAAGAGGCACGAATGGAGGGCGAAAGAGAGAAACGTGCCAAGAGGAAGAAGGCGCATCAAGCCAACCCCGACTGGGACCGCCTTCCGTCTGGAAACCGATGCCCTCACTGCGGGAGAACATGTGGATCAAGAAGAGGGCTCCACAGCCACCTACGAACCCACAAGGAAACGCATAATGGAAGACCATCTTACTCGTCCAACGAGGGATCGTCTAAGCAAGTAAGTAAGTAAGGATGGCCATCTGTCAGGGGTGATTTGAATGCAATATTCCTGCTTCTTGGCAGAATGGGGTTGGACTGGATGATGGCCCAGGAGGGCTCTTCCAACTCTTTGATTCCATGATTCTAAGTTTGCAAACTTTGTGTGTGTGTGTGTGTGTGTGTGTGTGTGTGTGTGTTTAAAAATACAATACAACTGTTTGGTTCGCTCCTGACATAATAAATATATAGTGTGGTTGTGAGAATGTGACCTGGCTGGAACTCCGGCCCAAAAAGCATATGCTTTCCAAGTTCTGCAGTGTTGCCGCGTTTGAGTTTCACCTGGAGGTTTCACCGTGTTTCTCTTTGGCCCTCCAGACTCCCTTGCACTTGGCGGTCATCACCGGCCAGCCGGCCTTGGCCAAAGTGCTGCTGACCCACGGCGCCTCGCCAATGGTGTTGGACCGGCACGGGCAGACGGCCCTCCATTTGGCGTGCGAACACGGCAGCCTGCGCTGCCTCCGGGAGTTGCTGGAAGGGAGCCTGGCGCCCTTGGACTTGGAAGCCCGGAACTTCGAAGGTGAGCAAAGGTGGGCGGGCACGGCAGGCCCCTCCCAGAGCCATTCCCCTGGCCATCTTCACAGACAGCTTTCTTCCAAATGGTGCACCATTTTGGATAGTCCTTGCCTGAACTTCTAGGTAGCACAGTAAACCGCTGAGCTGCTAAACTTGTTGACCGAAAGGTTGTAGGTTCGACGCCAAAGAGCAGGGTGAGCGCCTGCTGTTCGCCCCAGCTTCTGCCAACCTATCAGTTCAAAAACATGCAAATGTGAGAAGATCAATAAGTACTGCCTAACTTCTAGGTGGCGCAGTGGGTTAAACCGCTGAGCTGCTAAACTTGTTGACTGAAAGGTAGCAGGTTCAACTCCGAGAAGCGGGGTGAGCTCCTGCTGTTAGCCCCAGCTTCTGCCAACCTATCAGTTCAAAAACATGCAAATGTGAGTAGATCAATAAGTACTGCCTAAACTTCTAGGTGGCGCAGTGGGTTAAACCGCTGAGCTGCTAAACTTGTTGACTGAAAGGTCGCAGGTTCGACTCCAAAGAGCAGGGTGAGCTCCTGCTGTTAGCCCCAGCTTCTGCCAACCTATCAGTTCAAAAAAATGCAAATGTGAGTAGATCAATAAGTACTGCCTAAACTTCTAGGTGGTGCAGGGGTTAAATCTCTGAGCTGCTAAACTTGTTGACTGAAAGGTCACAGGTTTGACTCTGAGGAGCAGGGTGAGCTCCTGCTGTCAGCCCCAGCTTCTGCCAACCTAGCAGTGCGAAAACATGCAAATGTGAGTAGATCAATAGGTACCGCTCCGGCGAGAAGGTAATGTTGCTCCATGCAGTCATGCAGGCCACATGACCTTGGAGGTGTCTATGGACAACGCCGGCTCTTCAGCTTAGAAGTGGAGATGAGCACCAGAGTCCCGGAGTCAGACACGACTGGACTGAATGTCAGGGGACTAGCTTTACCTTTACCTATCCTAAAGTTCTAGTTCTGCCCATATTATTAATCCCGTGTTTATTTCATATTCTTTTTTCCAACCCTTGATCTCTTTCCCATTAGGTTTAACTCCGCTCCATGTAGCCGTTGGAACCTCCGACCACAACATGGTCCTTGCTTTGCTTGAACACGGGGCTGATGTCGACGCCGTGGTGAGTCTCAGGTTTGGGAGAAAACGGAGTAGAGATGGAACGTTATTGACCCTTTTTGGATCTATACCAGTGTTTCCAAGGGGGGACGTCTACGCCGTAGAATGAATGCAGTTCGGCACCACTTTAGCTGGTAATGGCTCCATGCTATGGGAACCTGGGAGTTGTAGTTTAGCACTCTTTAGCAGAGAAGGCTTGAAACCTTGGGAAACTACAACTCCCAGGGCCATGACAGCCAAAGAGGTGCCAAACTGCATTCATTCAACGGCGTTGCTTTAGCCAGGCAACACCAAAGACCTTTGTAAAACTACAACTCCCAGATTCCCATAGCATGGAGCCATGGCAGCTAAAAAGGTGCCAAACTGCATTCGTTGCAGGGTGTTGCCAAATCAGAAGTTCAAACACCATTGTGAAACTACAACTTCCAGATTCCCATAGCATGGAGCCATGGCAGCTAAAAAGGTGCCAAACTGCATTCGTTGCACGTTGTTGCCAAATCAGAAAGTCAAACACCATTGTGAAACTACAACTCCCAGGATCCCATAGCATGGAGCCACGGCAATTCAAAGTGGCCTCAAACCACATTCATTAAACAGTGTTGATATATCAGGACAAGGCCAAAGACCTTTGTAGAACTACAACTCCCAGGATCCCAAGGCCATTGCAGTCAAAGACCTTTGTAGAACTACAACTCCCAGGGCCACAGCAGTCAAAGAGGTGCCAAATTGTATTCATTCAAAAATGTTGCCATATCAGGATTAGGCCAAAGACCTTTGTCGAACTACAACTCCCAGGAACCCATAGCATGAAGCCACGGCAGTTCAAAGTGGCCTCAAACAGCATTCATTCAACAGTGTTGATATATCAGGACAAGGCAAAGACCTTTGTAGAACTACAACTCCCATAGCATGATGTCATGACAGTTCAAAGTGGCCTCAAACTGCATTCATTCAGCAGTGTTGATATATCAGGACAAGGCCAAAGACCTTTGTAGAACTACAACTCCCAGGATCCCAAGGCCATAGCAGTCAAAGACGTGCCAAACTGCATTCATTCAACAGTGTTAATATATCAGGACAAGGCCAAAGACCTTTGTAGAACTACAACTCTCAGGGCCACAGTAGTCAAAGAGGTGCCAAACTGCATTCATTCAAAAATGTTGCTATATCAGGACAAGGCTAAAGACCTTTGTAAAACTACAACTCCCAGGAAGCCATAGCATGAAGCCGTGGTAGTACAAAGTGGCCTCAAACTGCATTCTTTCAAGGCCAAAGACCTTTGTAGAACTACAACTCCCAGGAAGCCATAGCATGAAGCCGTGGTAGTACAAAGTGGCCTCAAACTGCATTCTTTCAAGGCTAAAGACCTTTGTAAAACTACAACTCCCAGGAAGCCATAGCATGAAGCCGTGGTAGTACAAAGTGGCCTCAAACTGCATTCTTTGAACAGTGTTGATATATCAGAACAAGGCCAAAGACCTTTGTAGAACTACAACTCCCAGGATCCTATAGTATGGTGTCATGGCAGTTCAAAGTGGCCTCAAACTGCATTCTTTCAAGGCCAAAGACCTTTGTAGAACTACAACTCCCGCCATGGCAATTCAAACTGCATTCATTCCACAGCATAGACGTGCCTTCTAACCTCTCCAAACGAAACAGGCTTGGAGAAGTTACAACGCCAAGCAGGCTTCTTGGGAGCCTTATCTCTCCCGGCAGGGCTCTTCTGCAAAGTCCAAGAGGACAGGTCTCTGCCCCAAAGAGCCGCCAGTCTCAAGTCCAACCCCAGAGATAGAAGACAAGGAGATTCTGGGACTGGGCCAAGGGGACGATCAGACAACCGCTTCCTCCAAAGCCTATTTGCAATTCAGGGAGCGTTCTGCGCACAATTTACAAATAATAATAATAATAATAATAATAATAATAATAATAATAAGGAGCCTTCTAATCAAGGTGGAAGAAGAAAGCGCAAAAGCCGGGTTGCAGCTAAACATCAAAAAAACCAAGATTATGGCAAGAAGAATGATTGACAACTTGGGAAATAGAGGGAGAAAACGTGGAGGCCGTGACAGACTTTGTATTTCTAGGCGCAAAGATTACTGCAGATGCAGACTGTGGCCAGGAAATCAGAAGACGCTTACTTCTTGGGAGGAGAGCAATGTCCAGTCTCGATAAAAATCAGCAAGAAACGAGCTCAGACTTGCCAGGGACATTAAAAACAATAAAAAGGGCTTCTATTCTTATGTCAGTAGAAAAAGGAAAAACAAGGAGGCGATAGGACCTCTTCGCGGAGAAGATGGGGCAATGCTGACAGGGGATGATAGGGAAAAGGCAGAACTACTTAATGCCTTCTTTGCCTCGGTCTTCTCACAAAAAGAGAGTCTTCAACCTCAGCAAGATGGAGTGGATGAGGGATTGGAGGACATCCAACCCCAAATTGGAAAAGAAGTCGTCCAGGAATACCTGGCCGCTCTAAATGAGTTCCAGTCCCCTTTCAGGGCCAGATCAACTACACCCCAGAGTATTGAAGGAACTAGCGGAAGTCATTTCGGAACCATTGGCAACCATCTTTGAGAGTTCTTGGAGAACGGGAGAAGTTCCAGCAGATTGGAGGAGGGCCAATGTGGTCCCAATCTTCAAGAAGGGAAAAAGGATGACCCAAACAACTACCGTCCGGTCAGCCTCACGTCGATACCGGGCAAGATTCTGGAAAAGATTGTTAAGGAAGCGGTCTGCAAACACTTAGAAACAAATGCAGTCATCGCTAATAGTCAACATGGATTTATCAAAAACAAGTCATGCCAGACTAATCTGATCTCTTTCTTCGATAGAGCTACAAGCTGGGTAGATGCGGGGAATGCCGTGGATGTAGCGTACCTGGATTTCAGTAAGGCCTTCGACAAGGTCCCCCATGACCTTCTGGCAAGGAAACTAGTCCAATGTGGGCTAGGCAAAACTACGGTGAGGTGGATCTGTAATTGGTTAAGTGGACGAACACAGAGAGTGCTCACTAATGCTTCCTCTTCATCTTGGAAAGAAGTGACAAGTGGAGTGCCGCAGGGTTCGGTCCTGGGCCCGGTCCTGTTCAACATCTTTATTAATGACTTAGATGAAGGGCTAGAAGGCATGATCATCAAGTTTGCAGACGACACCAAATTGGGAGGGATAGCCAATAGTCCAGAGGACAGGAGCAGAATTCAAAACGATCTTGACAGATTAGAGAGATGGGCCAAAACTAACAAAATGAAGTTCAACAGTGACAAATGCAAGATACTCCACTTTGGCAGAAAAAATGAAATGCAAAGATACAGAATGGGTGACACCTGGCTCGAGAGCAGTACGTGTGAAAAAGATCTTGGAGTCCTCGTGGACAACAAGTTAAACATGAGCCAACAATGTGATGTGGCGGCAAAAAAAGCCAAAGGGATTTTGGCCTGCATCAATAGGAGCATAGTGTCTAGATCTAAGGAAGTAATGCTACCCCTCTATTCTGCTTTGGTTAGACCACATCTGGAATATTGTGTCCAATTCTGGGCACCACAATTCAAGAGAGATATTGACAAGCTGGAATGTGTCCAGAGGAGGGCGACTAAAATGATCAAGGGTCTGGAGAACAAGCCCTATGAGGAGCGGCTTAGGGAACTGGGCATGTTTAGCCTGAAGAAGAGAAGGCTGAGAGGAGATATGATAGCCATGTATAAATATGTGAGAGGAAGCCACAGGGAGGAGGAGGGAGCAAGCTTGTTTTCTGCTTCCTTGGAGACTAGGACGCGGAACAATGGCTTCAAACTACAAGAGAGGAGATTCCATCTGAACATGAGGAAGAACTTCCTGACTGTGAGAGCCGTTCAGCAGTGGAACTCTCTGCCCCGGAGTGTGGTGGAGGCTCCTTCTTTGGAAGCTTTTAAACAGAGGCTGGATGGCCATCTGTCAGGGGTGATTTGAATGCAATATTCCTGCTTCTTGGCAGGGGGTTGGACTGGAGGGCCCATGAGGTCTCTTCCAACTCTTTGATTCTATGATTCTATGATATTCAGACTGGCAACCAAGATCCATTGCCTAGTCCAAGCCATGGTCTTCCCTGTAGTCACCTACGGATGTGAGAGCTGGACCTTAGGGAAGGCTGAGCGAAGGAAGATCGATGCTTTTGAGCTGTGGTGTTGGAGGAAAGTGCTGAGAGTGCCTTGGACTGCGAGAAGATCCAACCAGTCCATCCTCCAGGAAAGAAAGCCTGACTAAAGCTCACTGGAGGGAAGGAGACTAGAGACAAAGCTGAAGTCCTTTGGCCACATCATGAGGAGACAGGAAAACCTAGAGAAGACAATGATGCTGGGGAAAGTGGAAGGCAAAAGGAAGAGGGCCGACCAAGGGCAAGATGGATGGATGGCATCCTTGAAGTGACTGGACTGACCTTGAAGGAGCTGGGGGTGGTGACGGCCAACAGGGAGCTCTGGCGTGGGCTGGTCCATGAGGTCACGAAGAGTCGGGGACGACTGAACGAATGAACAGCAACAACAAATAATAATAATAGTAATAGTAATAATAATAATAATAATAATAATAATAATAATAATAATAATAATAGTTTTTATTTATACTCCGCCACCATCTCCCCAATGTGGACTCAGGGCACCTAACATGAGGCCAGGCCCTTTAAAATACAATGCAACACAATACAAAATACAGAATACAAGAAACAAAATGCATCAGAAAATAAATTACAATAACAGAGTGAAATAATAAAGCTGGAATGTGTCCAGAGGAGGGCGACTAAAATGATCAAGAGTCTGGAGAACAAGCCCTATGAGGAGTGGCTTAAGGAACTGGGCATGTTTAGCCTGAAGAAGAGAAGGCTGAGAGGAGATATGATAGCCATGTATAAATATGTGAGAGGAAGCCACAGGGAGGAGGAGGGAGCAAGCTTCCTTTCGGTTTCCCTGGAGACTAGGACGCAAGGGAGCAATAGCTTCAAACTACAAGAAAGGAGATTCCACCTGAAGATGAGGAAGAACTTCCTGACTGTGAGAGCCGTTCAGCAGTGGAACTCTCTGCCCTGGAGTGTGGTGGGGGCTCCTTCTTTGAAAGCTTTTAAACAGAGGCTGGATGGCCATCTGTCAGGGGTGATTTGAATGCAATTTTCCTGCTTCTTGGCAGAATGGGGTTGGACTGAATGATGGCCCAGGAGGTCTCTCCCAACTCTAGGATTCTATGATTCTATGATTCCTTCTTAACATTGTAAACATTTCTATTATCACTGCCCCAATTCTTATCAGGGTTTACTATTCAGTTCTTTTTAGCAACTTTTAATTACAGTCTAGCAAGCAGGTAGTTAGTCATTGCAGGCCTTAATATTATACTGGTGTCTCCAAAATTATCAGCTCCATCCATACATTCACATTAAATTCACATTTATCAAATCTTCACATTGAATTTCTTATTACACTGGTGGACCGTCCATTCCAACCCGTTTGAATATTGCATTCAAAGCACCCCCAACTGATAGCCATCCAGCCTCTGTTTCAAAGCTTCCAAAGAAGGAACCTCCACCACACTCCAGGGCAGAGAGTTCCATTGCTGAACAGCTCTCACAGTCAGGAAGTTCTTCCTCATAATCAGGAGGAATCTTCTTTCTTGTAGTTTGAAGCCATGGCTCCATTGCGTCCTAGTCTCCAGGGCAGCAGAAAGGAATCTTGCTCCCTCCTCCCTAGGACTTCCTCCCTATGACTTCCTTTCTGGCCCAGTTTACCTGTCTGAACGCATCTCCCCTTATGAACCATCTAGGGCTTTAAGATCGTCCAGGGAGGCCTTGCTCTTGATTCCGCCTTCATCACAAGTGCCTTTGGCGGGGACGAGACACAGGGCCTTCTCCGTGGTGGCCCCTCACTATGGAACGCCCTCCCTAAGGAGATTAGATTGGCTCCCTCACTCTTAATGTTTCGGAAACAAGTTAAGACATGGTTATATGAGCAGAGTAACTGACACAGGAAATGGAATCACTTGACAATAGAATTTGGACAACGTTTTTAACTAGGAGATGCTGATGATAAGGATGTTGGGTTTTATTGTTTTTTATTGTGGTTTAATATTGTCTTAACGCTTAATCTGGATTTTGCTATTATGTGTACTGACTTGTAAATCACCTTGAGTCACCGATAGGCTGAGAAAGGTGGTATACAAGTGTAGTAACGTTACATACAAACATTACATTTTTATTTATATAGATTTTCTTATGATTGTTGCAATCCAGAGCAGGAAACGAGGCCCTAAGATAACCATCCACCACACTTGACTGTGAAAAAACAATCCTTTTTTATTGAAGAAAAATGGTTACAAAATAAAGGAAAAATGCAAAGTCAAAAGCCACAGCAAAATCAGCAAACATGAATGTCCATGAACAAGATCAAAACCCCAAAGCCACACTGTAAAATACTGGAACCTGTTAGCAATCCACTAACCGTACTTGGCGTCCTAGAAATCTTTCAAGACGATGGCCAGGGAAACCGGGAGAACTGCCAAGGTCTTCATCAATCTAAAACTATGCCTGAACTGAGAAAGTCAGCCCTGCGGAAGGCACTTAAAGCCGAGGAATTGGTTTCATGAAACGCCTCCCTGCTTTGAAGCCCTTGTTTGTTTTTCTTTTAATCGGGAAGACCTTTGCAAGCTGAGTGATTCACTCCTGTCTTGCCAGATCTGGCCCCTTCTGTTCTCATTAAGGTTCCCAGGTGCAGAAGGGAGTGAAAGGTCATGGCTTCCCTCTGAAATATTCTCATGAACACTGGTACTTTCATTTTCCAAATCTACAGAAGTTTCTTCCTCACTAATTTCAGGAGCATTGATATCAAGAAGTACATTTTCATTAGCATCAGGAAGTACATTTTCATTAGCATCAGTAAATATATTTTCATTAGCATCAGGAGGAACAAACAGAGAATCAGGTTCAAGTTCAAACTCAGGCTGAACCCCAACAATGATGTATTTTGTTATTGTGTGTTTATTATGTTGTATTATTTTGGGCTTGACCTCATGTTAGCTGCCCCGAGTCCCTTTGAGGAGATGGTGGCGGGTTATATATAAAGATTATTATTATTATTATTATTATTATTATTATTATTTGCCTCTAATGCAGAAAAAGTCTTTCCTGTGCCAAAAAAGGCTAGCTTTTGAATGCACGTCATCCACATTTGAATTGTGCACAGAATGAGTGTGACGATGCTTGTGATTTTGCACTATCATTCGAACCCAGGTGTGCAATGCAATATGACCCACCTGTTGTCTCCTCATTTCCAGGATATTAAGAGTGGGCGTTCTCCCCTTTTGCACGCCGTAGAGAACAACAACCTGGAAATGGTTGAATTACTACTCAAGGTGAGGGGGGTTTCATTCAATAACCAAATGCTTTCCTTTGGTAAAGAAAAAAAAATTCCTTCATGGAAGGGTTTCAAACAGAAATTGGGGTGGTCTAGATGACCCTTGGAGTTCCCTTCCAATTCTATGAATGTCCTGAGATCTTTGCTGGCAAGAAGTCTAGGGGGTGTTGTCATTGCTCCAGCCAGTTCACAATAAATATGACTCAGTGCAAATTATAACAATGTATCTTAACATATATTTCATAGAAATACATTTTACTATGTATCTTTTATAGAAATAGGTATATGTATCGAATGTTTACAATGTTTATGTGCTTTAAATTATGCTGTAACCCTCTTAGAGGAGAGGCAGGTAAGAAGTAAAATTATTGTTGTTGTTGTTGTGGTGTTGTTGTTGTTGTTGTTGTCGTCGTTTTGCTATCATCTATAAGGAGATACACACACACACATACACACGATTGGTTATGCCTCTTTCTCTCTAGAGCTGTGATCTATCATGGCTGTGTTTGCATCTCTCTCCCTACATATATATATATATATAGGGCTGGGTATGCATCCATCTATTGATCCAGCTGGCTCTCTATATAGGGTTATATATGGTCTGTATCTGTCATTATCTATGTGAGGCTATGTATGCCTCTCTCTCTTTATATAAGGCTCTGTATATGTGTGTATGTGTGTGTGTGTGTGTATATTCCACATAGACATAACAATAAGATATATCTGTGTATGTGTGTGTATGCATCTATCTATCTATCTACATGGCTATATACACATCTACCTAATCTATCTATCTGTATGATCTATCAATTATCTATACATGGTTGTGTTTGCATTTCTCTCTCTCTCCTCTCTCTCTCTCTCTCTCTCTACCTATCTACAGGGCTGGGTATGCATCTATCTATCTATCTATCTATCTATCTATCTATCTATCTATCTATCTATCTGGCCCTATATATGGTTGTATATGATCTATCACTTTCTAAATGGGGCTGTGTATGCCTTTATTTATATTAGGTTGTGTGTGTGTGTGTGTGCGTGCGTATGTATGTATGTGTATGCATCTATCTACCTATCTATGTACATGGCTACATGTGTATGAATCTATCTACCTATCTATGTAGATGGCTATATATGTACACATCTATCTATCTATCTATCTATCTATCTATCTATCTATCTATCTATCTATCTAATCTATCTATCTGACTAGATGCATGCACAGGCACACACACAGCCTCAGAGGAAGGCCATGAAGAAACCTGGCCAACACAACTGCAAAGGAGATCAATAAGAGGGCTGGAGTTGATCTGAAAGCGCATAAAACCTGTGTGGTTTTCGTTCCCCTCTTGCAGCACGGTGCCAACGTCAATGCGCAATCCTACGGTGGCAACACAGCACTCCACGCAGCCAGCGGACGAGGCCTTCTGGACACGCTCCGGCTCCTGGTCCGCAACGGGGCGGACGGCAGCCTCAAGAACTACCACAACGACACCCCTTTGATGGTGGCCAAGAACAAGCGGGTGAGTGAGAGCAAAACAAGGCGCTTGGAGAGGTTGCCGTCGCTGGCTGGCAGTCTTCAGTTTGGACTACAACTCCCATAATCCTTGGCCCTGCCGCATGGTGGGACCTGCAAGCTAAAAACACGGGGAAGGCCAATTGCAGCATATATTGTTTCAGGTTACAAAAATCATGTTCCGTAGTGTCATTAGTAGGCTGTTCAGGTCCTGAACCGGTGCTTGGCCGCTGTGACGGTCTGGATGAGGGCGAACAAATTGAAACTGAATCCAGACAAGACAGAGGTACTCCTGGTTAGTCGTAAGGCCGAACAGGGTATAGGGTTACAGCCTGTGTTGGATGGGGTCGCACTCCCCCTGAAGACGCAGGTTCGCAGCTTGGGTGTGATCCTGGACTCATCGCTGAGCCTGGAACCCCAGGTTTCGGCGGTGACCAGGGGAGCTAAAGCTCGTGTGCCAGCTGCGCCCGTACCTTGGGAAGTCTGACTTGGCCACGGTAGTCCACGCTCTGGTTACATCCCGTTTAGACTACTGCAACGCTCTCTACGTGGGGTTGCCTTTGAAGACAGCTCGGAAGCTCCAAATAGTCCAACGCTCGGCAGCCATGATTTTAACAGGAGCGGAGCGCAGGGAGCATACAACCCCCCTGTTGCGCCAACTCCACTGGCTACCGATCTGCTACCGGGCTGAATTCAAAGTGCTGGCGTTGGCCTTTAAAGCCCTAAACAGTTCCGGCCCAAGCTACCTATCTGACCGCATCTCTGCCTATGAACCCACCAGGACTTTGAGATCTTCCGGGGAGACCCTGCTCTCGATCCTGCCTGCTTCTCAAGCTCGGCTGGCGGGGACGAGAGATAGGGCCTTCTCGGTGGTGGCTCCTCGGCTGTGGAACGCCCTTCCTACGGACATTAGACTAGCACCATCTCTAATGGTATTCCGCAAAAAGTGAAGACCTGGCTGTTTGAGCAGGCGTTCGAATAATTAGTGCAATGATTGGTTAATGAACACTGGAATGGAACGAATGGATGACGAATCTGGAACATGTTTTTGATGACGAGACGACAGTGAATGGGTATTGTAGTAACTGTTTATTAATTGTGTAATGTGTTAGGTTGTTAACTGTTTCTATACTGTAGCACTGAATTTTTGCTGTTCGTATTTGTTGTGAACCGCTGTGAGTCGCCTTCGGGCTGAGAACAGCCGTATATAAGTAAGGTAAATACATAAAAATAAATAAATAAATAAATAAATAAATAAATAAATACTTTAATTGGGGCCAGTTACAGGAGGAGTCTCCCTTTTCCAAAATGCTCAGGATCATCTTGGAGATGTAACCCAAGTCTAAACATGAAATTAATTTATGCTTTCATATATCCATACCCCGAAAGTCCTTTTTGTATACAATATTTAAAAAAAGATAATGTTGTGCATGCCATTACATTTGGGTACATTGAAACATCAGAAAGCTGTGAGTTTTCCAGGCTGTCTGGCAATGTTCCAGAAGCATTCTCTCCTGACGTTTCACCTGCATCTATGGCAGGCATCCTCAGAGGTTGTGAGGTCTGTTGGAAACTTTGGAAATGCGGTTTATATATCTGTGGAATGAGGTTCAGGGTGGGAGAAAGAACTCTTGTCTGTTGGAGTTAGGTGTGAATGCTGCAACTGGCCAAATTTTGTTCATTTTCATGGCTTCCTCTTTTCTGTTGAAATTGTCCACATGCTTGTGGATTTCAATGGCGTCTCTGTGTGGTCAGACGTGGTGGTTGTGAGAGTGGTCCAGCATTTCTGTGTTCTCCAATAATCTGCTGTGTCCAGGCTGGTTCCTCAGGTGCTCTGCTATGGCTGACTTCTCTGGTTGAAGGAGTCTGCCGTGCCTTTCGTGTTCCTTGATGCGTGTCTGGGCAATGCTGCTGCATTTGGTGGTCCCTATGGAGACTTCTTGTCCACAGCTGCATGGTACACAGTAGAGTCCTGCAGAGGTGAGAGGATCCCTCTTGTCCTTTGCTGAATGTAGCATTTTCTGGATTTTCTTAGGGGTCTGGAGATCGTTTGTAGGTTGTGTTTCCTCATCAGCTTCCCTCTGCAGCCAGTATATATAGTAAGAACACTTTTCCTCTGGGTGGATCTTTGTCTTGACTCTCGATGTCACTCTCTTGTTTTGGATTATTTCGGAATTCTAGATAAGGCATGATTTCAGTGCATTGAAGCATAACAAAGTCAAGGTGACATCCTCTTTTCTTGCTTCTTCTTCCTTCAGGTGATTGACATCCTGAGAGGGAAAGCCTCCCGCTCTGGACCGGCTCCGGACAACAGCCAAGATGGATCATCCCCAACAAACGGCACGGATAGATCTCCAATTCTCCGTCCGACTTATACTGGTCAGTAGGGCCACTTGAGCCAGTCCGTTCACTACCATTAAGTTACAATTTGGCTTGGATAGATGTCCAGTTCTCTGTCCGACTTATACCGGTCAGTAGGGCCACTTGAGCCAGTCCACTCACTACCATTAAGTTACAATTTGGCTTGGATAGATGTCGAATTCTCCGTCCGACTTACACCAGTCAGTAGGGCCACTTCAGCCAGTCCACTCACTACCATTAAGTTACAATTTGGCTTGGATAGATGTCCAGTTCTCTGTCCGACTTATACCGGTCAGTAGGGCCACTTGAGCCAGTCCATTCACTACCATTAAGTTACAATTTGGCTTGGATAGATGTCCAGTTCTCCGTCCGACTTACACCGGTCAGTAGGATCACTGGAACCAGTCTGTTAACTACCAGTCCATTGTCAGACTGTAGGATCTATATAGCAATATTAAATAACTACTCACAAGCCGTTTTGCTTTGAAATGGATATATTGCTTGTATCTCTGCAGCAAAGAAAGACACTACTGACTTTTTCCCACCATCACTTCCTTTTATACACCTTTCCTGCCCATTAATGCCCCGCGGTGTTATTGTTAATGTTTTTTGCTTTGTTTATGAGTTTTTATTATTATTATTATTGTATTGTTGTTGTTGTGTTTTACTGATGTATTTGGGCTCGGCCTCTTGTAAGCCACACCGAGTCCTTCGGGAGATGGTAGTGGGGTATAAATAAAGGTGGTATTATTATTATTATTATTATTATTATTATTATTATTATTATTATCATCATCATCATCTCCCCCCTCTTCTCAGTGTCCTTATTAGAACTTGTTGCTTCATAAGTTCCAATATAAGGTTTCCAGCGCCCTCTGCTGACTTCAAAATGTCATAGAGAGAGAATTGATTCAGCCAGGATGATTCAGTCAGGATGTCAGGATCACGACATACCATTAAGTTACAATTTGGCTAGGATTCTTTCTTAAAGGGGAAGGAGATGGAATACATGTCACTGCAGGACAGAGTTGCAATTGCCAAATAGATAGGGTTTGGTGACAATCTTATCACAAGGCATCTTGTAATTTCTGACCAATGTTCCACTAACATTGAGCTCTGGAGAGCTTCTGTTCAACCATCTCAAAGCTCCCTGCTTGAGCAGTGATGGCACGATCATCAGCATAGATGAAGCTCTCTGTCCCTTCTGGCAGTGGCTGGTCATTTGTGTAGATGTTGAACATGGATGGAGCAAGCACGCTCCCCTGAGGTGGGCCGTTCTTCTGTTTCCGCCATCTGCTTCTCTGGCCCTGGAACTCAACAAAAAAGCTCCTGTTTTGTATCGGGTTTCCTATGAGAGCACCTAGAGCTTTAGAGAGCTTCTGTTCTACTATCTCAAAGCTCCCTGCTTGAGCGGTGATGGCACGATCATCAGCATAGATCGTCTTTGTTAAGCCAATGTGATTTGATGGGTTGCTCTTGTTTCCCTTTTCCAGGTCTGCTGCGCTCTTCACCTGATTCGTGCCCCACGACTCCGAGCCCGGCCCGGACCCCGAAGCCCCTCGTTTCGGCCAATCAGAAGCCAGAGAGCATTATGTCGTCCAGTGAGTCACTGGGGACCACCCATTTGCAGGGCGTGAAACCGGAAAGGAGCCCCTCCCCTCCCGCTGCGGAGCAGCCAATGGGTTTCCGGGGGCCCCCCAAGTACTTCCTACCGGTCACCGAGGGCATGATGGACCCGGCCTTCTCCCTCTATCCGTTTGTGAGCTCCGGCCACGGCCTTTCGCCTCATCCTCTCCCGCTGATCCCATTCGGCGTGAATCCCTCACTCCTAGCCGTGTCCTCGGAGTCCTTGGCCAATCAGGTGCAGCCCAGGAGCATTGGTGCGGACCAATCACAGGAGCCGCTGGACTCTCCGGGGCCGTGGCCTTGTCCTCGGGGCAGTGACCCTCGGGGCAGTTGACAAGAAGGAGGCGAGAGGGTGGATGCTCTCCGACGACTGACTTTGCCCAGAATGCTCTCCGGCGCAAGGCAACAGGACAACGGAGGCTTTTGCACTTTGCTGCTAAAGATTCCGAGCACAACATGAATTCCGATCACCTCCGAGGAATGTTTGTGTGGACTTGCAAGTCCACGGGAAGAGGATGCCCAAGGACCGCTTCCTGGAGTAGGAATGTTGATGCTTCACAGGGAAGCTGCTCAAAGATTTTTGGTGTGTAGCAACTCCCGTCGAGCCTGAGATGACCCTCTGCGGTGTGCTAGGACCATGTATTGCAAGCCCCATCGGCCACCCAGTCTCACCCGTTCAACCCGGTTGCATGTCCCATCCACCACCCATGTTTTGCAAGTCCCACCCACCCATGAGTTGCAAATCCTACCCACAGGTTGTAAGTCTTATCGTCTACCCGTGTAGCAACTCCCGTCGAGCCTGAGATGACCCTCTGCGGTGTGCTAGGACCATGGATTGCAAGCCCCATCGCCCACCCAGTCTCACCCGTTCAACCCAGTTGCATGTCCCATCCACCTGCCATGTTTTGCAAGTCCCACCCACCCATGAGTTGCAAATCCCACCCACAGGTTGTAAGTCTTATCGTCTGCCCATAGATTGTTAGTCCCATCCACAGATAGCGAGTCTCCATGCACTCATCCATGGGTCGTAGATCCCATCCATGGATTGCAAATACCATCATCCACTCATGGCTTGAGAGTCCTATCGACAGATTGCAAGTCCCATTGTCCGCCTATGGCTTGCTAGTCCTACTTACTAGTCCATGGATTGCAAGTCTCATAATTCACCTATGAGTTGCTAGTTCTACCCACCTGCTTGTGGATTGCAAGTCCCATTATCCACCCAAGGATTGCAAGCCCCAGCGTTCACCTATGGCTTGCTAGTCCCACCCACCTATCTATGGTTTGCAAGTTCGATCATCTACCTATGGCTTGCTAGTACTCTTGCTAGTACTACTTATCTGCCTGTGGATTGCAAGTCCCATTATCCACCAAAGGATTGCAAATCCCAGCATCCACCTATGGGCTGCTAGTTCTACCCACCTGCCCATGGATTGCAAGTCCCATCATCCACCTATGGCTTGCTAGTCCCACCCACCTTTCTGTCTGTGGATGGCAAGTCCCATCACCCACCTATGAGATGCTAGTCCTACTCATCTGCCTGTGGATTGCAAGTCCCATTATCCGCCCAAGGATTGCAAGTACCATCATCCACCTATGGGCTGCTAGTGCTACCCACCTGTCTGTCTGTGAATAGCAAGTCCCATCATCCACCTATGGGCTGCTAGTCCTACTCATCTGTCCATGGATTGCAAGTCCCATTATCCATCCGAAGGATTGCATGTCCCATCATCCACCTATGGGCTGCTAGTCCCACCCACCTGTCTGTCTGTGAATGGCACTTCCCATCATCCACCTATGGGCTGCTAGTCCTACTCATCTGCCCGTGGATTGCAAGTCCCATTATCCATCCCAAGGATTGCATGTCCCATCATCCACCTATGGGCTACTAGTCCTATTCTCCTGTCCACAGATTGCAAGTCCCATCATCCACCCCAAAGATTGCAAGTCCCAGCATCCGCCCATGGCTTGCTAGTCTTACCCACCTGCCAGTGGATTGCAAGTCCCATTACCCACCTAAGGACTGCAAGTCCCATCATCCACCTATGGGCTGCTAGTCCTATTCTCCTGTCCACAGATTGCAAGTCCCATCATCCACCCCAAGGATTGCAAGTCCCAGCATCTGCCCATGGCTTGCTAGTCTTACCCACCTGCCAGTGGATTGCAAGTCCCATTACCCACCTAAGGACTGCAAGTCCCAGCATCCACCTATGGCTTGCTAATCCCACCTACCTGACATTGGATTGCAAGTCCCATCATCCACCTATGGGCTGCTAGTCCCACCCACCTGTCCATGGATTGCACATCCCATCACCCACCCGCCCCCAGGATGTAATTCTATCCTTTATTTAAAGATTCCTCCTAAGCGCAACCCACTCCTCCTAACTGGGGAGTGGGTTTTTCCCCACTTGTTTAGGGCATGAAAATTCTAATATCTGGGGTGGGAGTGATGCAGAACTGTTCCAAAAAGCAGGAACTGGTTGCAGGCCTTTCTCCCCATCTGGTGGACGGGATGTCCATTGCGCACGGCTGGGCTTGGAATGGGAAACCTTTAAGACTGCGTTGGGTCCTCCCTGCTCCTAATCCTCTTGCCAGATTTCCCAGCGGTGGGTTGCCAAATCATCAAGGTCTGGAAGTATCGTTGCAGAAGTGGAGAGCGTTGGGGGAAAGCGGGGGATTTCCTCTCGGTAGGAAATCCTTAGGTGCATTTCAAGAAGGGCAATTTCAGAAATTCCCTAAAAATCCTTAGACATCACAAGGAGTGCGTGAAAGATGGAATTGATTACTCAGTCTCAGAGACACTTTGTGGGTGTATCTACAATGCAGAACTAATGCAGTTTGGAACCATTCTAACCACATGGCTTAATACTATGGGGTCAAGGGAGCTGTAGTTTGCACTCTTGGGGAGGGACGGCTCAAAACCTTGGAAAACTACAACCTCTCGGAATGCCATCACATAGAGCCAGGGCAGTTGAAGCAGTGCCAAGTTGCATTTGTTCTGTAGTGTGGATGCACATTTCAACAGAGGATTACTAAGGACCTTGGGAAACTACAACTCCCATCATTCCAATGCCTTGAGTAATGGCACTTCAAGTGGTGCCAAGTTGCATTCGTTCTGTAGTGTAGATGCACTCTTTGGCAAAGGATTGCCAAGGACCTTGGGAAACTGCAACTCCCATGATTCCAAAACCTTGAGTAATGGCACTTCAAGGAGTGCCAAGTTGCATTCGTTCTCGAGTGTAGATACACCCTTCAACAGAGGATTACTAAGGACCTTGGGAAACTACAACTCCCATGATTCTGCAGTCTTGAGCGATCGCACTTCAAGTGGTGCCAAGTTGCATTCATTCAGTGGTGTAGATGCACACTTCAACAGAGGGTTACTAAGGAACTTGGGAAACTACAACTCCCATGATTCCGCAGCCTTGAGCTATGGCACTTCAAGTGGTGCCAAGTTGCATTTGTTCTATAGTGTAGATGCATTATTTGGCAAAGGATTGCCAAGGACCTTGGGAAACTACAACTCCCATGATTCTACATCCTTGAGTGATGTCACTTCAAGGAGTGCCATGTTGCATTCATTCTATAGTATAGATACACACTTCAACAGAGGATTACTAAGGACCTTGGGAAACTACAACTCCCATTATTCCACAGCCTTGAGCTATGGCATTTCAAGTGGTGCCAAGCTGCATTCGTTCTATAGTGTAGATACACCCTTCAGCAGAGGATTACTAAGGACCTTGGGAAGCTACAACTCCCATTATTCCACAGCCTTGAGCTATGGCATTTCAAGTGCTGCCAAGTTGCATTCATTCTATAATATAGATACACACTTCAACAGAGGGTTACTAAGGACCTTGGGAAACTACAACTCCCATGATTCCAAAGCCTTGAGCTATGGCACTTCAAGGAGTGCCAAACTGCATTCGTCCTATAGTGTAGATACACCCTTCAGCAGACCTTGGGAAACTACAACTCCCATGATTCTGTAGCCTTGTGCTACGGCATTTCAAGTAGTGCCAAGCTGCATTCGTTCTCTAGTGTAGATGCACCTTTTGGCAGAGGATTTCCAAGGACCTTGGGAAACTACAACTCCCATGATTCCGCAGCCTTGAGCTATGGCACTTTAAGTGGTGCCAAGTTGCATTCGTTCTGTAGTGTAGATGCACTCTTTGGCAAAGGATTGCTGAGGACCTTAGGAAACTACAACTCTCATGATTCTGCAGCCTTGAGTAATGGCACGTCAAGTGTTGCCAAGTTGCATTCATTCTATAGTGTAGATACACACTTCAACAGAGGATTACTAAGGACCTTGGGAAACTACAACTCCCATGATTCCAATGCCTTGAGCTATGGCACTTCAAGTGGTGCCAAGTTGCATTTGTTCTCGAATGTAGATGCACTCTTTTGGCAAAGGATTGCCGAGGACCTTGGGAAACTGCAACTCCCATCATTCCGCAGCCTTGAGCTATGACACTTCAAGGAGTGCCAAGTTGCATAAGTTCTATAGTGTAGATGATACACCCTTCAGCAGACCTTGGGAAACTACTACTCCCATGATTCCACAGCCTTGAGGTATGGCACTTCAAGTAGTGCCAAGCTGCATTCATTCTCTAGTGTAGATGCAACTTTTGGCAGAGGATTTCTGAGGACCTTGGGAAACTACAACTCCCATTATTCCACAGCCTTGAGCTATGGCATTTCAAGTGGTGCCAAGCTGAAGTCATTCTCGAGTGTAGATGCACCCTTTGGCTGAGGATTTCCAAGGTCCTTGGGAAACTACAACCCCCAGGATGCCGTCTCATGGGGCCAGGGCCATTACAGTGGTGCCAGACTTCCCTCCTTTTGCACTTTCCAGTTCGTTTTCCAATTGAATGTAATGGGGAGTTCATCAGGAAATGCCGAATCGGGGAGAGTGCTGGATTGTGAGCCGCCCATCATCCTTCCCTTGGCAAACGTCCTTCTCTCTGCTCTGACGAGGAGCGATACTTGAAACGTCAGACCCCCCTGACCGTCGCGGGGTAATAAAATTAAAAGGGGTCTTTTGAGTTTATTTACTGATGTGTCAATAAAGTTATTTTTCTACTGTCAACACCTGTGGTTTGTGATGTTAAGGCAGAGAGAATAATAATAATAATAATAATAATAATAATAATAATAATAATAATGGGTTGCTGTAGGTTTTTTCGGGCTATATGGCCATGTTCTAGAGGCATTCTTCCTGACGTTTCGCCTGCATCTATGGCAAGCATCCTCAGAGGTAGTGAGGGCTGTTGGAACTAGGAAAAAGGTTTATATATCTGTGGAATGACCAGGGTGGGACAAAGGACTCTTGTCTGCTGGAGCTAGGGGGGAATGTTTCAACTGACCACCTTGATTAGCAGCTTACTGGTGTAACATTGGAGAAAATGTTGACCCTTTCCACTCCCTTGGCAGCCACCTCTCCACCAAAGTCAACATTGACTCCAAAATACGACACTGCCTGAGCTCTGCGAGTGCAACATTTTTCCAAACGAAGCAGAGAGTGTTTGAGGACTGGGAGCTCGGTAGGGAGACCAAGGGGCTTGTTTGTAAAGCCATTCCCCTCCTAACCCTGCTCTACGCCTGTGAGACATGGACTGTCTACAGAAGTCACACTCAACTCCTGGAACGATTCCATCAGCACTGCCTCCAGAATGGGCAGGAATTTGGGAGATGAATGCAAGCAAACACCCTTCATATGAGGCTATTGTCCTCCCGACCCTGCTATTCGCCTGCGAGACGTGGACTGTCTACAGACGTCACACGCAACTCCTGGAACGATTCCATCAGCACTGCCTCCAGAATGGGCAGGAATTTGGGAGATGAATGCAAGCAAACACCCTTCATATGAGGCTATTGTCCTCCCGACCCTGCTATTCGCCTGCGAGACGTGGACTGTCTACAGACGTCACACGCAACTCCTGGAACGATTCCATCAGCACTGCCTCCAGAATGGGCAGGAATTTGGGAGATGAATGCAAGCAAACACCCTTCATATGAGGCTATTGTCCTCCCGACCCTGCTATTCGCCTGCGAGACGTGGACTGTCTACAGACGTCACACGCAACTCCTGGAACGATTCCATCAGCACTGCCTCCAGAATGGGCAGGAATTTGGGAGATGAATGCAAGCAAACACCCTTCACATGAGGCTATTGTCCTCCAACCCTGCTATATGCCTGTGAGACGTGGACTGTCTACAGACGTCCCATGCAACTCCTGGAACGATTCCATCAGCGCTGCCTCCGGAAAATCCTGCAAATCTCTTGGGAAGACAGCGGGACAAACGTCAGCGTGCTGGAAGAAGCAAAGACCACCAGCATTGAAGCGATGGTCCTCCAACATCAACTCCGCTGGGCCGGCCACGTTGTCCGGATGCCCGACCACCGTCTCCCAAAGCAGTTGCTCTACTCCGAACTCAAGAACGGAAAATGGAATGTTGGAGGGCAGGAAAAGAGATTGAAAGATGGGCTCAAAGCCAACCTTAAAACTCTGGCATAGACACTGAGAACTGGGAAGCCCTGGCCCTTGAGCGCTCCAGCTGGAGGTCAGCTGTGACCAGCAGTGCTGCAGAATTTGAAGAGGCACGAATGGAGGGTGAAAGAGAGAAATGTGCCAAGAGGAAGGCGCGTCAAGCCAACCCCGACTGGGACCGCCTTCCACCTGGAAACCGATGCCCTCACTGCGGAAGAAGATGCGGGTCAAGAATAGGGCTCCACAGTCACCTACGGACCCACCGCCAGGACACTACACTTGGAGGACCATCATTCTTGGACTACTTAAGTAAGTAAGTTGGCCACTGTTGGTCGCCCTTTGTCTCAGGCGGGGAAGTGGCATGGGGCAGCCCCACCCAGGCATCCAGGCGGGACCAAGTGCGAAATCATCAAAGCCACTCCAGGCTGTGACTCAGCAGTCAAGAGACCAGTTTCTCCTTTTGCGCCCTTCCCAGTCCATCAGGGTCAGAAACAATTCAGCCTTGTCTGAATCAGAGCTTGGGAAAAGAGGCTCTTCC